CAGAGTTTAGGGCTGTTGTACATAGGGTCGCTATGAGTCGCAAATGACTCGACGGCACATAACAACAACAACAACAACATACTTTTCCTTTAGCCAGTTGCAGTCCCGTAGGAGGGTGAAATGTTTGCCAAGAGACACATAGGATTTAAAACTTCCTCCCTTGGATGACAGTATTTTTGCTGAATAAAAGAATTTCTGTGAATTGATCATAGTGTTAACTGAGCTAGATATGCTCTTGGACATTCTGACACTCTTGGGTTTACTTTCAGACCCTCAGGTGCATTGATTGCATCTACACAAGACAAGCCCAACCAGCAGGATGTTGTGTTTTTTGAGAAAAATGGGCTGCTTCATGGACACTTTACACTTCCTTTCCTCAAAGACGAAGTTAAGGTAGGTGTCTGAGTTTTTCCATTATCCCATTTAGATGACTTTCCACAACTGCAGGTAGATTTATTTTTTTATCTGGTTATAAGTAGAAGCCCCAGAGTAAATAGTAAAAAAAGTGGTGGCTTCTTATACATGATTTTTTTTTAAAAAAAAAATAAAGGAGATTATTTTTACAAAGGAAATAGCTCCAAGAAGAAATTGCATTTTTTTCCTCCAGTGTTAGATAAAGCACTGTTACTTTAAGGGTTTTATTGTTACTAAAAGGTAACAAATAAAAGTATACTTTTCATTTATACATTAAAAAGTATTTTTAATAGATTAAGCTACACAAATATAACAATAAATATAGGGTTGTTATGAGTTGCAGATGACTCGATACACATAACAACAACAGTAGTTACTATCGAGGAGCCCTGGTGACATAGTACATTCCATGTTGGACTGTTCGCTGCAAGTCCACCAACCACCCAAAAAAGATGAACAGCCTCCTGTAAAGATTTACAGCCTCACAAACAAAATAAGAGAGTCATTAGGAGTATGAATTGATGAAGTGTTGGGGGTTTATTGTTTTGTTTTTATTACTGTTGGAGTTCCTGCATAGAGCAGCCAATTTACAAACTTTGCTGCTGATTGGTAGGTAGGTCAAGTCCACCAAGAGCTGTCTTGGAGGAAAGGCCTGGCAATCTTCCAAAGTACCCTGTAGTTTATTGAAAACCATGTGGAGCGCAGTTCTCCTCTGATACACATGGAGTCACTGTGTATTGGAATCAGCTCAACGGCAGCTGGCAGTGACACATAAGCTGTGTCATTACACCAAGGCTTGAAGGACACTTAACCTGCAGCTTGGAAGTTTGACTCCACCCAGCAGTACCAGAAAAAGAAAGGCCTTCTGATCTACTTCTCAAAAGTTTACAGCTAAGAAAATCCTGTGGAGCAATTGCTGTGTAAACAGGGTTACCATGATTATAAATCTACTCCACATCAATGGGTTTTAATTGCGTTTGGTTATAACTGCAGCCACTTGTTCTCACTTTTCCTTTATTAGGCACATTTCAGAAGGGCTTGTCCTAGAAATCATCCCCAGCTGTGTCTCAGTCTGATGCCCATCTTGTCTTTTCCTTCCTCTCTGTAGCCACTTTGCTTAAGGAAACTTTTTTCAGCACAAGTTACTGGTTTATTGAGATTTTCAGTTTAAAAGACCCAATGTCTTTTTCTGCTATAGAATTTCATGATACCATATTTCTTTTTTATGTTTCCTTGGGTGCTTCATGGCCGTGATAATTTTTGAGACTTTCCTTGCTTTTGAGAACTTTTAATAGTTTTTAAAATCTTGGTCAAGTACTTTTGTATGATACCCTACCCTGTTTGTTTTTTCTTATGACTTGATTTAAAAGCTTGGTGTAAAAGGAGCAGATACAGGGTGGGGGTTGCAGAGTTTTACTTCTACCTGCTTCATAAAAGAGAAAGGTCCCTGTTAACAACATAGCACCATACAGTTAGCTACATAGTTAGACATGCCACCCCATATGCTCCTGTACCTATTTTTAACTAGTCATGGGATCTGATACTCATTCCAGGACTCACAGACTTTACTCTCATTTGTGAAGTTTATTAGGAAAATAGGTTGGAGAGTAAGGGAGGCAAAGAATATCTCACAATGCAAGTCCAGATTTAGTTCAGCAGTGCCAAGCCTGATTTAACAAGGCACAAATTCCTTAATTAGAGAAATTTCAGGTTCAGCTCAATAGCACAAATGGAAGAAGCTTTCCTCAGTAATCTAGCAAATTATCTCAGCAGTTATAAGTCAGCTTTTCCTTCAGTCATCCAGCAAGCAAAACCTTTAGCTATGGCCTTTGTCTCAGAGCGGTTTAAAGTCAGCTTTACTTAAGTCATTCAGCAAGCAAAACCTTTATCTCCAGGGTTCCTCTGATTACACCTTACTACTGTCTTCACAGCCTTGCCAAGGTCTCCTCACAATCTCTTCATCACCATCACCACCCTTTTTTTCCCAATGTAGAAAACACTTTCTTATATTGGTGTTTTAGCTGTTGATGATTTGCAAGATCATATGACTCTAGTTAGATAGCCGGAGAACATGCCTCCCAGCTGAGGCTAATGCAATGGCTAGAAGGGCTTGACACCCCATTTTGGTAGTTAGATAATTTGATTTTGTGAGATTCTTTTAAGATTTTGAAATAAATACACCGCCAAAAGGCACTGACAGACCTTTTCCCCACCTTTAGGTAAATGGCCTGTTCTGGAATGTGGATTCCTCTGTTCTTGCAGTTTGGCTAGAGGACCTTCCGAAAGAAGAAAATTCCATTCTGAAAACCCATGGTAGGATAGTGTGGTGTCTGAGCTTCATGCCCCATAAAATGTAACTGAAAGTGGTTGAGGTCGCCTGTCTTCCCTTCTAGTTCACTCCATGGGGGAATTAACAATAGGGAGGAGGAGATGGAAATGTACTTGCAAAATTCATGAAATATTGCACAGCGTGGATGTATCTCAAAGAAATTATGCTGAGTGGCATAATTCAGACACAACTAAGGTATAAGACCACTACTGCACAAAACTTAGGGACCTCTGGTGGCCTAGTGGCGAGAAGCTGTGCTGCAATCCTGAAGGTACCAGTTCATCCGCGGGAGAAGGATGGGCAGTCTCCTCCTGTGTGTTGTTAACTGCCTCTAAAAACCTGCCAGAGGGTCAGCTATAGGTCAGTTTCAACACTACAGTATACAACAACACAACATAAAAAACTTAGGAAAGTTTTATATGCAGAATCTTGAATGATTATAAGGGAGGAAGAAGGGAGTTAATCTTAATAAATAGATATGTGGCTGAAGGAAAGGCCGTATTCAGTAAGGATTGTTCACACATTTTAACCGATTAATCCGTTTTGATTTTTTATGATATTTCAGTGATGTGAACAGTATCTTATGCCAGACATTTGAGTTGTTTCCAATTCTTTACTTAAATAGATGATGCTGCAATAGATGTGACTTTATTTGTTTGTGTCACAGCTCTTATTTCTTTGGGATATACACCTAGCAGTGGGATCAAAGAGTATTTCTGTTCCTAACTTCCTAACACAAGGAGCCCTTGTTGTTTAGTGGGTAAGGAGCTGTGCTGCCAACCCAAAGGCAGGTAGTTTGAATTCACCAGCTACTCAGATGGAGAAAAATGGGCACTTTCCCTTCTGTGCCTTTTGAAAGCCTGGCGGAGAATCAGCTATGAATTGGTTCTGATTCTATGGCAGTGAGTGTGTTTGATTGACTTTACTTTTCATTTATTCATTCATTCAGCACAATAGTTCTCAGTCCTGGCTTTCCCTTTAGAAAAATACAGTGACATCCACGGCTCATCTTAGAGTTGGACTCACTGTGTTGGAATAGGGACCATTTGTCAGTATTTAATTATAAAGGGGGGGGGAATAACCCCAAACAGCCAGTTGATTTTAATGTGCAGGCAGAGTTTAACACTTCTCTTCAACCAGTCATGTAGGACCAGGCACTGTAAGACACTGAAAATAATAATGAGGAAAACCAGCCACAACCTCTTTCCTTAAGAAACGTGAAACATGTTGTCTAATTTACGAGTTTACTGCTAGGAGAAGTAAGTACTATGATGATCTAGTTAGAGAACTGGATTAGGTTTGCAGTGGTCACCAAGTTATGAAATGGTAAGCAGTGAAATATTCAAAAGAAATTCCTTAATATAATTTCTGAGTTTGTAAGCTTCATCTGTTTTGACATGATGAAGTTTTACTCTTTTTACATATTTCTGATACTGGAAAGATTACTTGAATGCTGATTTCCCTTGGAGGGAGCTTGTGACATAACAGTTATATGTTTGACTGCTGACTGAAAGCTTCGCTGTTTGAACCCACCCCTTGGCTCTGTGGGAGGATGATGTGCAGTCTTTTCACGTAAAGATTACAGACTTTAAACCCTGTGAAGCAGTTGTACTTGACCACTCAGATTCTGCGAGTCAGAATCAACTGCGCAGCACATAACAACAATAGTCTCCCTCTTGAGTAGCTCATTCCTAAATGTCACCACAGCAGCCTCCGACACAAATGAGCACTTCTACCTAAAACGACATAGTGATGCTGGCTGAATTACTCTTGGATTAAATGTTTTAATACTTTTAGTCTAATTGCCTAATTTTTCTTCTCGCATCTTTATTTAAAGCACTCACTAAACACTGTCCTGTTTGTAATTCCCTTAGAAAGTTTTCAGGTAAAGTTGGAAATAATCATAAGTACTTTCTACCTTATTCATACTTGGCATCCTCCCATCCTGAAAACTGCCTTTCAACAGTCACTATGTTGTTGTTTTAATAAAGATGCTGAGTGGGAAGGGCCATTATTATTAAAAGAGAGTACCTTCTAGCAATCAGTGTGAAATCTTACCCTCCCAGCCTCTGACTCCCTTCCGTTTCTTTTCCCTTGCAGTTCAGCTCTGGACGGTTGGAAACTACCACTGGTATCTCAAGCAAAATCTTTACTTTAGCACCTGTGGGAAGAACAAGCCTGTGGCTCTGATGTGGGACCCAGTAACCCCATTCCGGCTGCATGTTCTCTGTCAAGGCTGGCATTACCTCTGCTACGACTGGCACTGGACCACCGACCGGAGCTCGGGAGACAGCTCCAGTGACATGGCACACGTGGCTGTCATTGATGGACGTAAGATGCTGACAAGTGTGGGCCCTCATCCGTGAGCCTGAGAGGGCTATGAGCGCAGGCCTGCAGAGGGGTGGTTTGACTTGAATTGTAAACAGGTTTTTGTTTTGGTTGGTTATATGTTTTCACTTACTTTTATTTTGTTTTTGATTGAATTGTAATGCCTATATGTGGTTTGTACAGGTTCCTGAAAACCACATTCTTCCCCCTCCACCCAGCCCACTGGCACACACAGCCCAGTTCTCTTCTCTGTGGCACTGCAGTCCTGGCCATCACACATTTACTTGTCTGGTTTTTGAAGGCTTTTAGAATTTTTGACGTATAGCATAGCAAAATAAACAGAAGCCTTGAGGTGGTGGAAGTCTATGTTAGTCATTCACCCTGACAGCTTTTTATTGATCTTATACCACGTATTGCTTTGTTTTCTGGTCTCCTACTTGGTAATTCTGTACCTCAGTATGTTCACTTCCAGTTGCATGTGTCTGTCTACTGTCAGAAGGAGGCTTTTTTTTTTGGTGGGGGTTGAGGTGATAGAGTAATTAGAAAAATAGTTTGTTATTTCCAGCCTAAAGATGTATATAATCTAATTAAACACCTCCATCCATGTTTACAATGTGAGTTGGTGTTCTTATTCCTGTTTTATGTAGTGTAGTGGTTATGGCAGTGGTTTTGTAATTATATGCTGTGTGTGGATGACTTAATCGGATCTGCCTTATTACTAAATCTGGTATAGGGAAATTCTGTAAGGAATTTAAAGCTATTGATCCTCTTGAATTAATCTGACTTGAGTCACTAGCTCAAATTTCAGCTTGGAACTCTGACCTCTTTGTCTTCTGGCCTTAGTGTCTAGTATCTGAGACCATCAAGCCGGAAGATAGGCTAGTTTAGGACTTGAGGTAATAATAGATTTATCAGATAGAGCCTATGACATCTGACTTTTACTACCATGTCCTCCTCCTCTAAAAATCTCCAGTATTTTAAGTCATTTAGGAGAAAAACACTAGAATTTTTTTTTTAAAGAATTGCTGTGTGTTTTCTGTCATCATCATTACTTAGTGGTATTTAAACCCTGTGTCATAGTAAGATAAACAGAAAGCCATTTAAATGCCTTTTTGTATCAATTGAAGACCTGTATAATGCTTCTTGGGTTTCTTTTTCAAATGCAGACAAGGTATTGGTGACAGTCTTCCGGCAGACTGTGATTCCACCCCCCATGTACACCTACCAACTGCTACTCCCACAGCCTGTGAATCAGGTCGTGTTCTCTGCACTCCCTCAAAAGAGTAACGACCTTGCTGTCCTGGATGCTGAGAACCAGATTTCTGTTTATAGATGTGGTATGTTCAAAACTGTCATCAAAATGTTTTGAGTCAAGTCCTGCCTACACCTAGTCAAAAGCAAATTATAGTTTGATGTTCCCTTAGCTGATGTTTCTACTGATCTTTACTTCATTGTCATTGTATTTATTTAGCTTGAGAGTTTGGAGTTTTTTAAATTTTACTCTGGCACATAAAAGCAGTGGCTTTTGCTTTACTAAACCTGGATAAGCAGTTATTTATAAATACAGTTTAACCCTGAAAATAGTCTAGTGCTTTGCTACATCTTTTTAAACGTATTTTACATTGCTTATTGCCTTTGCACAGATTGTCAGTTGTTGTGCAGTAAATAAATTGAATCAGAATTGGAAGAGAGTGCTTAGGACTTTAGAGGATTTGACACTGTTGAGAAATAACTGTGGGACAGTGGGAGGAAGTGGTAATGGCAGCCCTGCCCCCTAGTTTTGCGGAGTGAGAGGTGGCTTTTATTAGTGACTGTGCTTTAGCCAGGGGCACAGAAGAGGTTTTGTTATCTGATTGTTTGCTAGATTGATTTATTTGCTTTTTGGAACCTACTAATAGCAGATCTACTTATTTAATATTAAGTAAATGTTTACAGTTTCCCATGAAAGTATTTGCTTTCCCCCCTCCAGTTGACAGTCCATCTGTAGACCCTACAGTGAAATTAGGAGCCGTGGGCGGAATTGGATTTAAAGTTTCTCTTACATTACCTCTTCTGGAAAAGAGATATAGGTAGGTTACACTTGGGCGTCTGAGACCTCTGGGAGCAACAGCCAGCATTTAGTCTCAAATCCAGTTAACTATTTTTTCTTTATTTGTTGCTGAGTAGGAAAAAAAAAATAAGCACAACACTTGAGCCCTGATTTTTAAACTTGGTTGAGAAGCCAGAACCCTGCACTTATGAATGCCTTATTTCTTCATGGGTGGCAGGAACTCCCAAGTCCTCAACTTATACTCCTCACTCATTTGAGAGTATATATTTGTTGATTTGTCATTGTTGAGTACTGTCAAGTCAGAACTGACCAGTAGCTGACTCTCTAGTGGGTTTTCAGAAGCAGTAAATTGAATAGAAATATATTACTTATCTTTCTCTTGTGGAGCAGCGGGCGAATTTGAACCATATGTGTATGGGTTAGCAGCACAATTCGTTACCACTAAAGCCATCAGCGTCCCTTGAGAGTATATAGGTGTTAGCGTATGGATGGCCTAATGCAGCCTCTACCTTTGTTTGGATTTCTGGATTCTGTGATTTGAGAGTCCCAAGTTAGAAATCAGAATGCATTTGGTCACTGGAACAATGTTAACAATAATTGGGCATAATTGAATACTTCAGGTACATAAAATGTAGGAAATGGGAAGGAGTTTAGAATTTAGTTTCTGTTTTAAAAAATTGAGAGAAAACTCCCAAGTCATTCAGTGACAGTTTCTTGGAGGAAATATATACTTACATTGAACCTTGAAGACGAGGTGGACTTGTATTGGTAAAAGGAATTGGAGATGTTGAATATGAAGAGGAAAGAGTGTCAGTGACATCAGATGGAGTGATCCTGAGTGGCGAGAAGACCCTGGGCTGAGCTGAGTAAAGAAGCTGATTCTGGGGAGAGGTCGTGTGGTAGGAGGATCAGGTTGCTGATTAGAGCTACTCAGGTATGAGCTGAGGATTTGCTCCTTTATTTAAAAGGCAGAAAGTCATCATTTGGGCTTGTTCTTAACTCAAGTGGCAATTCCATAGCACTAGTCAGCTGTTTAAATGCTGTAGAAGTTAAGTGCCTAAACATCAGCTAAGAGAATTCAACAATAAAAATAATAATATATTTAAAAAAAAAAAAAAAGAAGAAGTGCCAAAGGCAGAGAAAGCCTCACTCAACTTAACAGGTCATTTTGATGTTAGGTGCTTAAAAAAGGACCCATTCTATCGAGACCAGATACATTGAATTGTAACTTTCTAGTGAAGTTTTTTGAAATTCTCGGTTTAAATCTCGACATCTCAGAGTGAGTAAAACACAATTTTAGATAAACGTGAAAGCATTCATAAGCCCAGCGTGCATTTTTTAGAATTTCTGGTATTTGACATTATATAAAGTTTTATTTCTGCCAATAATAGGGAGTTAACTGTTTACAGGGTGGTCCAGTCTTTCTTTCAGGAAAATTTTGATATTCTGAAAGTTTTGCTCATGTCCTAAGTATTCTTTACTGTTCCTAACAGAATTCAGTTTGAGAATAATGAAGATCAAGAAGCAAACCTTCTGAAGCTCAGCCTTCTTACCTGGATTCAAGATGATGTTTTCCTGGCCATTAGTCACAGTCCTTCTGGTCCACAGTCTATCATTTACTGTTTGACTGTCGCCCCTTCAGAGGAAAATGAGAAGCAGGGGCAGCTCAATGTCAGGTACAACAGTTCTTCCCTGTATGCCATGTGTTAATAATCAACAAATGGGTTATATTTTCATCTTTTATCTTCTAATGAACAAGGTTGAGGAACAGTAGATTTTCTTGTTAGCAAGAGGGTTACGTCTAGTTTTGAGTTATGTCAGTACAGACTAAAAATACATAAAAGAGTGGTGAGAAATAGTACACATGCCACGAGATGAGCTGAAACCTTTTATGTTTTACCTGTTAAATATTGTAATTCTATATATGCACATATTCTGGCAGAGGTAATTTTGGATCTTAGAATTTACTAATACCAAGGGTAATTAGAGTGACTCATTTCTTATGAGCCAATGCAGTGGGAAGAAATGAAAAATAATGCGTTTCACTTTGATAGGAGTAACTTTAGCTTCTGTGGCCTCTCTCCCACACCATCCTGCGTCTGCTACTAGAAAAATCTCCTTTTCTCTTCTTTGCTAAAATTCCACTGTATCCAAGGCATGAATTTTTGTTTTGATTCCTGATGCCTCTCCGTGCACGTTTTAGGCTAATGAAACTCTAAGCACTAATGAGCAGCTAGAGCTTGAAGCACAGGTTTACAGTTTGAAAAGCAGAACAATTTATATTAAAATATACCCAAATTATGCAAATTCTGTTTCTTTACATTTGAAGTTTTTCTAATTAGCGTGTAGAAGGAAAAGCTAGGTATTGTCATTTTCTCCAAATCAAACGGGGAATATTATCCAAAATATCTTTCTGTTGCTATTCTAAAGACTGTTTTGTAATACAAATATTAATGTCTTTGTAGAATGTAAAGTTTCTAAACCAACTTACTGCTATTAAACTTTGTATACATTATTAACTATAAGCTAATAATTAATGAAGCAGTTGTTGTTGATTGTTGTCGAGTTGAACACGGCTTACAGCGACCCTATGAACAAAAGGCCTGAAGCCTTTCTATAACGTATGTTGATATTTATCAGAGTTCATAGAGTTTGTTAACTTACATTTAACTATAGTTAACACTAAGCAAAAGGTAGAGAGGTCTAGTGGCCTAGTGGTAAGGAGCTGTACTACCAACCCAAAGGCACACAGTTCGAATCCACCAGCTTCTCTGCAGGAGAGAAATGGACAGTCTCCTCTTGTGTGATTAGACCGCCTCTGAAAACCTGCTTACAGGGTTATCTGTGAGTTAGATCCAACTCGACAGTGTCTCTTTGAAGTAAGTACTGGTGGAGTCTTCATTTTACATAGACCACTGAGGAACAGAGCAAGCAAAGACTTTGGCCAGCACCATGTCGAGATACGATCCAGGCCTGGCCAGTCTGGCTCCGGAATTTGTTCTCTTACCTTCGTCACAGATAACTGAGGACTCAAAAAATTTGGAGCATTTTTTACCATTGGCACCGTTTGCCTTTAACACTATCTTATTCTCTTCCTTTGAGA